GCAATCTTCTGACATTGGAAATGCATTGCCATCTTGGTGACCCCTCTCTCCCCGCCAGCTCCGCACTTGACTTGAGATTTCATTCATGAGTCCATTTCAGCATAGCCATTTCCCATCCACACTTCTTGCCCTAGATGTTTGGAAATTTCTGCCTCCAGAATAATGTAGAAACCTATTATAATGGGAATAATACCCTAAAAATCAGTGGAGTGGAGTGACGTGTCACCTGAAGTAGAAATAAATATTCAGTTGAAAGTGCAGGAAAATTACATTTGAAAATCCTTTAAATTGCCTATTTTAGTTTGGCATATATGGTTTTATGTATACAACTATGTGTAACAATATGAGTGTGTATATATTATAATTCATATATACACACGTGTGTGTATATTATATATGTAATTATATACATAATTATATGCATAATATATATAATTATATACATATATTATATATGTAATGCCACATATATAATAAAGAGTACACTCATTTAGGGAAAGGAGAATTATCAGCTCTATTGAACTTTGTATTTTCTCTCCCCTTACCTCCCTTTACTGTGCCTATTTATTTTAACGTATACAAATTGAATGTCCTTATGAGGCCATTTTATCCCATTGCATGGTTGAGAAGGGCTTCCTGATTCTTGGGTTGTTCTGTTACTGGATCTCTGATTTAGGAGGTAAAAAATGTAAAAACTATTGTTTTAAATTATACCTTCTTTCAGGTCATGGGTTTGCCCTTTGCGAAAAGCAAACTATATGTAAGACATAGGTTTTCTTTCTCAATTTGGTTTGATAGGTCTTATTTAATTTTTGTCCCAGATTTGATAAACTTTTACTATAAAGGTTGAATTTTAGTGTTATAAGTTTTCATCTGTGTGTGTGTGTGTGTGTGTGTGTGTGTGTGTGTGCTTGTGCCTTTATATTATATGGAGAGAAATTGGGAGGTGCTACATCTGAGGCTGCTACATAAATACAATATAACTAGATATTTCTAAAGTATTATTGAATAAATAGTTGTTTGAAGAATTGTGTTCCTGGAGTCTATGAAAGCATTAATTTCAACATCTGGAATGTCTTAATAGGATTGTTTGTAGGGGTGAGTGTGATTATCTAGATTAATCATTATCCCTGGGAGTGATGGGGAGCGGTCTTCATTTAACTCCCATGTCACTCTCTGATGCCAAATGCATTTGTTTCTCTGTCTGGTGCTAAATGCTCAATATGATTAGCTATTTCACCTCCAAGTTTAGCAAGAGGAGAACATTTTCATCCCTGTCTTCATTAGAGCTTGCTCCTCACACACTGATTTAATGGATCCTTCTGTGGAAATACATGGTGGGCCTTTGTTCCAACTGGGGACAAAATCTTGGGTCTTGAAGCTCTGCTAGGAATGATCTTCTTAGTCTTTCAATGAAGAAACTATGATCATAGCCCAGGACTTGAAGCAAGCAAACAAACAAACAAACAAAAAAGAATTCTGTTTGACAAATACTCTCCAGTTAACTAAGAACTGTGCTAGAAGAGATGGTTGAGATATGGCCCTTGTCCTAAAGGAGCTTCCAATCTAGAGTGGGAGATAAACACATCACCAATTAGCTACACTATGCTGTGAAGAGTTCTGTAATAGAGGGATGAACAAAAATGACCCCATGACACAGATATGAGATGATTAATTCTGCTTGGTCAGCAGTCAGGGGGACACTCAAACAAACAAACCTCAATTCACCACTGCAGGAAATCAACAGGGCAAAAAATATTGTGAGGGAAAAAATAAAAATAAACATCAGCAGCAGCAGACACAGTCATAAGTGCTACATGAACTAGTTTCTGGAAATCTGCGTGGAAGAGCTGAGTTTGAAGGATGAATATGAATATAGGCAAATGCATTCCCAGGTGGAGACATCAGCATATCAAATTTGCGTAGGCATAAAAAATGCTCTCCCTAATACAAAAAAAATAAATTGTCCTCTATGACTTGTCTTGATGTGCACGTTTGGAGAATTGAGGATGAAAGACTAGGAATGGCCTCTTAAGCAGTATTACCGATTTTGAAATTTATCCTGTGGGTGATTCAGAGGTTATGGTGCAGAAGAATGATATGGTCATACTTATGTTTTAGAGAGAAAACTGGCAACCAGATAGGGAGCTGAGGCCAAGAAAACAGTTGGGAATAATTTGTTCCTGCCAGCTAAATGTAGAGCTTGTCTTCCATCGCTCTTTGCTTCTAAAAGAGGATTAAGGTAGAGGAGGAAATAGAGAGAAAGAAGAAGAGGAAGAAAGCTAAAAGAGGAAGGCAGAAAGAACTCTCTGGGGCAATTTGTATTCATCGGTAGGAAGAGTGAGGAAGTGAAGCTTTCATCCCTCTTACCTCATATCTTGTGTGGCTTCTCAAGCCTAGAAACCAGGAACTACCTACTGGATACTGTCTCCCAGCGTTTGACACCTTTCTCTCTTTTGCCTCTCATATCTGATCTTGTCATTAAATTTTAATTTAAAAACAAACAACAACAAAACTTTTCTCATGGCCTTTGCCACGATTCCCAACAATGGCTTCCAGTTTAAGCACTTTGCACTAATGAAGATCCCGGAGGACTTGTTTCTCCTCTCCCTGTGGAATGCAGCCTCTAGATGGTCCCCCCAAAGCTCTGTGTTCATCATGACAAGCCCTGCTTGAAGCTGAATTTGGAAGGACAAAAGTCAAAATCTCAGAGTAAATTTTAAGACGCTATCCTGCCTACCACCATGATCGCTTTCCTTGTTTGCTTTTGGGCATAGTTTTTGTCCCATAAATTCCTCACTCCTCATACTACACATATCAAAACCCTTTCAGTCCTTTAAAGAATTCAAAGTTCAGCTCAAATTTTATTTTTTTGTTGCACATTTTTTGACAGGTAAGGGAAGGCCACATTTCTTTCCTTTTGTAGAAAGGCTTGAAACTTTACTGACAAAGTCCTCATTTTTCTACTTATATTATTGACCTGAATGTTTTGGCACTTTTTCAAAAATAGTCCTACAGTGTAATAGTTCCCAGTGGGAACATATTTAGTTCAATTTGGCCAATACAGAGGGTGCCAAAGTACACATCTTAAGAAAGGAAAAAACTGTGTTAAAATTACACTGATGGTAACCACTCTGAGCATCTCTTGTAATTGCAGAAGTCAAACATGACTTGTATTCATCTTTTGTTATTGGTATATATTAAGTATTAACAATTTTAATGCAATTTTTTCCTTTCTTAAAATGTGTATACATTTTTTTGGCACCCTCTGTATTTATTGTGCACCTAACGTGTAAGAAGTTGTACTAAACATTCCCAGGATGTCAATATTAAACGACAATTAACATCAAATGTCTGCTCCCAGCAAAAACAGTTTAACAAATTTATTCAGTAGAGGACTATTGCTGCTTCACCTATATGATTAATAACTTGTGACTCTTCAAATAAGATACTCTTCTTTCATTGAGGTGGTGAGTTCTATAAACAGATAAAATTGTGATGGAAGTTACATAAGCACACATCTCACAGCAAGAATCCAGTCTTAGTAGATACAGAAATGTAATCAAGGCTTTAGTATTGGACTATCCACTTAATCGTAGTATATATATTGTTAATTACTCCACATGTCTTATTCTGTTCAGGCTGCTAGAACACAGACTGCTTGCAAACAACAGAAATTTATTCCTCACAGCTCTGGAGGCTGGCAGTTCGAGATCATGGTGCCAGCCCTGTTGGGTGAGGGCCCCTCTTTTGGCTCACAGGCTGCCAACTGGTCACTGTGTTCTCACATGGTAGAAGGGGCAAGGGAGCTCTGTGAAGCCTCTTAGCCATTAATATCACACACGGATGACTTAATCACTTCCCAAAGGCCCCACTTCCTCATAAAATCACATTGGGCATTAGTATTTCAACATATGAATTGGGGGAAGCACAAACATGCAGATCATAGCACCACATATATTAGAAGTTCTTCCTCAGGGGCTAGAAGTTTAGGAAACTGATGCATCCATTTTCTACACCATTCTTATACAACTACCTGCTATTAATTTTAAAGGAAAGCAAAGGTAATTTCTTTCAGTTATTTCACCTGAGAGAAAAACTTACCAAACAGGTGAATAACAGCAATTGTTAGAAATGGGATGCATAAAGGGAACTGTCTGTGAGGAAGTAGACAAGACCGATAAAAATTTAAGACCAAATGTATGTATGGTTGTGTCACTGATGCGACCCGTGCACCAAACGAGCACTCCTGACTCGTCAGCCAGGAGTCTACCGAGAGGGTACCTGAGAGGATTGGGTGGGAGACTGGAAAAGAAAGAGACTAGAGACGAAAGCTGGGGACAGGAGGTCCACCCAATGCTGATAGCAGAGAGTGGCCCCATTTATTGTTTACACACAGCTTTCATAGCAAAAGTAACTTTTCTTAGGTAGGGGGGTTTTGGGAACTTGAGGGAATAGTCCCCTACTCCCAGGGAACACCTCCCCCGGGGCTTTCCATAGGGTGGGGAAGAAATCTTCCCAGGGTGAAAGCAAAACATAACAAGCAGAAACTCTTAATAGGATGGCATTCCACTCTGTAGCTTTCAAGGCCGTTGGCTGTTTTCTCCTCAGCGGCCAACCTTCCCACGCTGCTCACCCGGACCTGAGAGCCTGTCAGCCTGCCAGCTTTTAAGCTTAACCCTTACTGCAAACCTCCAGCTCTCTGGCTTAACCCTTACTACAAGCCTCCGGCTCCCTACATGTCACCCCTACCATTTACACCAAGAACTATCTGCCATCTGATACCCTTAGCAAAAACTATCATGAAGTCAGTTGTAAGGACTCAGTAATTCCATTAGACAGGAAACACGGCTTTCCAAATTATGAGAATTTTATCCCAGAGGCATTGGAATATCACAGGGAAAAATAAGGGATTTAGCCTCATAAGAAAACAAAATACCTTCTGTTATAATCTTTGGCCGATGCTTTCTAATTCTTCTTTTTCATATCTTTAAATACAGAATCCCCTGCACCTACAACTGAGTTTAGAAAATTCCTTAAGTTCTGATGCTGATGTCACTGTCTCAATCCTGACCATGAACAACTGGTACAATTTTAGCTTATTGCTGTGCCAGGAAGACTGGAACATCACCGACTTCCTCCTTCTCACCCAGAATAATTCCAAGTTCCACCTCGGGTCTGTCATCAACATCACCGCCAACCTCTCCTCCACCGAGGACCTCCTAAGCTTCCTGCAGGTCCAGCTTGAGAGCGTTAAGAACAGCACACCCACCATGGTGATGTTTGGCTGCGACATGGAAAGTATCCGGCGGATTTTTGAAATGACCACCCAGTTTTGGGTCATGCCCCCGGAGCTTCACTGGGTGCTGGGGGACTCCCAGAATGTGGAGGAACTGAGGACAGAGGGTCTGCCCTTGGGGCTCGTTGCCCATGGAAAAACAACACAGTCGGTCTTTGAGTACTATGTACAAGACGCCATGGAACTGGTTGCGAGAGCTGTAGCCACAGCCACCATGATCCAGCCAGAACTTGCTCTCATTCCCAGCACAATGAACTGCATGGACGTGGAAACTGCAAATCTCACTTCAGGACAATATCTGTCAAGGTAGGAGGCAAGGCCCGGGTCACATTTCCATTCATGGGCTGTGACGGGAAGTAAAATTTCCCTCTCTGTCTCCTTGGCCACAATCTTGACTCTGAATAACTTGAAACTCTAATAATATTTCTGAGAGGTTTTCTGGTTACATAAGGCTATTATTTCATGATCTGTCATCTGGAATTTGATCTATAGACGTTTAGCACATGGTATATAGTAGGGAACACTCAGTCCTGCTTTTAAACCCTGGCTTAGTCCCTTACTTGTTGTATGTTCTTGGCAAGTTATTTAACAACTTTCAGCCTCAGTTTTCTAATCAGTAAACTAGGATAATATTGAATTGCTTGATATATTATAATAAAGGTACCATGAAATTATATATGCAAAGTACCTAACACTGTGCTTGGCTCGTAGTAAATAACAAATATTTCTATCCCTGCCCATATTTTCCCATATCGACAGACTTGGAAAAAAACCTCTCTAACTCTATACAGAGAAAAAAAGTCAAGCAGGAAATAGACTATTCTCTCTCCTCCCAGGCGTTGATGCTTAAGGCAGTGTAGAGTAGTAGTGAAAGTTATAGACCCTGGAGAGCCAGACTCTGAACTTGAATTTTAGCTCCGCCACTTACTACTTGTGTGACTTGGTCAACTTCTCTGAGACTTAGTTTCCTATGTTCTATATCCATTTATATTATCAATAGATCGTACTATCCATGAAGTCATTATAACAGACAGATGGATAGATACATAGAAAGATAGAATGAACAAAAAACTTACAGAAAATTATTATATATATTATATTATATTATATTATATTACGTGTTTGTGTGTATTTTTTTAACTTAGGAACCTTTCCTCTCTAGTTCCTCAGCCTGGCTCAGAAGCTATAATGAAAAAAGCCTATTTAAATTAAAGAATAACCCATTTTATAGAAATGGTTTTCATGATCCCCAGAAGATGAAGATTATCCTTAAAGGGTATTTTATTGGGGCCTAGATTTTTTTCTGAAAAGGACCACCTGCGGTCAGAGAGGCCAAATCAGAGAATTATTGCTCTTTCAGAGGTGAAGGCTCAGCTCTTCAGAGGCGAAGGCCAAGCCCCGTCTTTGAAAAAGACATGATTATTTGATGAAAGGTCAGAAGGTCCGAGCATTTACATTTAATTTTATATACGTGGATTGAACACCTACTATGTAAGGCAACATGCTAAATACCATGTATATGGCAGGTATAAGCACAGCCTATGCACTATATAAAGAATGCTGTTAATAAAGTAAAATAATCAAAAATTCATTTATTAGTGATCTATTAGTGATAAAATTAGATGTTCTACCATAATTTGACATTTCCATTTTTTTCTATTTTCAAATGAATGTCCACAAGATTAAATTCTATGCATACTTTTATTTTACAGCCACTGTCCAGATTTAATGTACTGTTTTTGAATATCGTTGTGGCTCAAAATTTTATCTAGGATAAGAAACATTCTCCTTTATAATGAAAATATAAGCAAAGCTTTTATTTATAATGTAAAATAGACATTATTTTGAAAGGACAATTGGAAACAGCAGACAGGAAAAACCACTTGTGAAAACTACATTGAGTTAGCATCTTCCTGTCTCATGTGAAATGGAGAGTGTAAGGAAAATGATTCTGTTCGATCTTAAAAATACTTAGAAACTACAGGAAGAAATATTTGTTGACTTAGGTTGTCTATACCTTAGGGATTCATTTTATCAAGATCAAACTGATCTTTCTGGTTCCTCAAGATTTAATTTATGTTTAAGTTACATGCCCCCTTCCACAAGGATCCCACAGCACTTTCTACATGAAATTATATGATGATGGTACTTAGCCTGTTCCACCATCATTATTTGTCTGTGTCTGACTCCTGAACTAAAATATAAACTCTATTATGTGGAAATATTATTATTCAGCCTATTTTTTTAAATTAGGGAGCAGTGTGTTTTCCCAGGACCCATCAGCTCCAAGTCAAGTAGTTGTTTCAATCTAATTGTGGAAGGCACATCTCAGGGGCCCATGTGGGAATCGAACCGGCAACTTTGGTGTCATGAGCACTGTGCTCTAACCAACTGAGCTAACTGGCCACCCCATATTCAGCCTAGTTTAATACCTAGCATATAGCAATCATTTAACAGACCTTTATTGAAATTAATATTTAATAAAAGGATATTTTCTATTATATTTATATCCTATACCAAATGTAGCTATAGAAGAAAAATGAGTGGTTGATAGATAAACAAAATTTTGTCTAAATTAAAAACATAGTTTTTGAGTTTTTTTCATTTACCTAGATGCCATCTAGTTTTCTTCTGTTCTTTTTTTTTTTTTTTTTAATGAAATGCTAGGTGAGTGGATAACTTTTGCCCTTGCGGCTATGTCCACATGTTTATTCCACACACTTTAAAGCTGTCAAAGAAGAGTGTGAGGTTTGGAGCCCGGCAGCTATTCACAATGTGTAAGGGTCAGTGACGATATTTTCACCTCCATGAATGTGTTTGAGAATGAACACAAAGAACTTCAGGAAACATGCCCAGGATTTCTTAAACTCCCTGAGGAATGCAGTCAAAGAGAAAGTTTCAAAGTGTTCAGGAGAAGGTCAAGGAAGTGGGCAAAACCCTGAACGAAGTCTTTATGATGAATAACTGAAAAGCTGCCTTAAGCTATAAACCATCTGTGCATTTTTCATCATCTTTATTGATTTTGTTGAATACAGTATTTTAGAAAGTTCGTTATTTTCAGTCCATAAGTCACATCTGCATACAGTAATTTTCTTAATTGTTCCTGAATTTTGTGAGGCTGACCCCACTTCCTCAGTGCATAATGCAAGTCTTGAGGATAATGAGCCATGAATAGCAAGCGTCAAAGTTATGTAGGCTTTTCATTTCTCACGCAGTCATTTTCACTTTGGGCTGACAGAATTGTTAACATTTCTAAATGTTAATGAAATCACCAAAAGCACGGCTTTTTCAGCATAGGCTTTTAGACTAGAAAAATCATTGCTCATGGCAGACTAGATAGACATAATTACAGGTATAAAGGATTTTATTCTTTCTGGGCCCCCACATGCCAGAGCAAATGTCCATCACAATTAAATATAGACAAAACCATTTGGGGGACAAGTTCATAGTGTGATCTTTCACAATTTATTTGCAAGTTGTTTTATTAAATGTTAATTATTTGAAGCCATGAAATCCGATCTATTATTTGGTAATAACTTCATAAATACCTGTGTATGGGTAGTCTTATACAGCCAGTGACTATTTGTTGAACTAGGATGAAGTAGATTAAAAATGAAGATTTGTATCCTGCCATGTTGGAGCTGACAGCCTCCAGAGGAGGAGGTTGAAAAGTAAGTAAATGCTCATAAAACAAAGGGATATGTGATTCTTAAAAGAGACATGTTCAGATACATAGAGGAGAAAATAATGAACTCTTCTCAGAGACGTGATGAGGGAAAAACACTGGCATTGGATCTTGATAAATAAATAGAAGTTTTTTTGATTTGGAGCAAATTCACAGGCAATGCAAATTTACCAAGAGCTGAAAGAGAAATTGAGTGCAGTTGGAACACACATTGCATAGGAAGAGGATTTGACGTGATTCTGGAAAAGTAGTTAATTTGATAACATGCCACCCAGGGCTTGTATGCCAAGCTCAGGAGCTGGCATTTTATATACATACTGGATATCACTTGAATGGCAGAACATTAGCCATGACGTATTATAACATCATAATCCTGTACCAAATTAATCAAATACAGCAGTATAGCATAAAAGCCTTTCAAGTAATTTTTAAAAACCATTAGGCTATAACATTTTTTATTTCTCAAAATTGGTTTTAACCTTGCCCACATTTACTCCTTTATTGCATTTGAAACACCAGACTCTGGTGAAAATGAACAGGAGTTTGAAGACTTACCTACCATCTGATCCTAGGGTTAGCATGTGCCCATGCTTATCTGAATGCCTTGGGTGTTCATAAATCTATTTATACTGGAGAAAGAGCTCCCTGGGTGACTCCTAGCCTGGTCAAGGCAATTATCCTTTAAGAATTCCAAGAGTCTAGACACTGATAAACATCTTTTTACCCTTGGCCTGTGTATTCCCTTACCCTGTGGCTAATTAATCATTGTTCTTATAGTTATTGTAGCTTCTAAGTAGGATATCAAATCTTGCCTTTGTTTTTTGAGCAGCTTTTGCAGTTCAGTTCTGTATCAAGTAGGCAGTGATTAATTCATTTATTCATTCAGAAACATTTGTTGAAGCTTACTAATATTAGGCTAGGCCTTGGTTAATGCTAGAGACACAAAGAATAGAAGACAGAGTTTCCTACGCCCTGCTCTTAGGAAACTTACAAACCTCTTTTCTGTTCTCCAACTCAGAGAGGATATGCTCCTTTAATTATCTGTCATTTTTATCCGTTTTCTTTGACCTGTTATTCTTCATTGGGACAACACCCATTCTATCCTCTGGCATTGGCTGGTATTTTTAGGCCCCCTCCTTAGGTGTCCTTGAAGAATGGTCCAACATGCTAGAAACTTTTTTCCCTCCAAGTTATGTTTAGTTTTATGCTTGTATGGTTAAGCAATACCAAGATTCACTGGCCTTTCATTAATAGTAGATGCTGCTTTATTTATTGACTCTACACATAATATTCAGGATCTATTATGTAAGGTACTAGGGAGCCTCAGAAAAAAAGACTAAAACAAATATCCATTCAAAAATCCCATGGTATAAAGTGATGATGGTCCCCATTTGCTTCCTGAATAGTAGAAGAGTAACAGAAGAAATTGAGGCTGCATGATAGAATTGTAATTGGAGGTATTTCCATCCACCTTTACAATAATATACCAGCATTGTGACCCTGGCAAAATTATTTAATGTCTGGAAATTTTAATTTTCTGAACTATAAGGATATCTACCTTGAAAAGATAAGTGGTATGCCTAAGGTCATTCAGCTACTACTTTATAAGGGGAGATTTAAA